AGAAAAGGGTGCCAGATTCCCTGGGACTGGAGCTATAGGCAGTTGGGAGTCACCTGTATGTCCAGTTCTGTGACAGTCAGTGCCGTCTTGTGACCTCTCTGCACCTGCATGCATATGCACAGGCCCACACAAAAAAAAAACACACATACCTAGTTAAAAACAAGGGGTTGGGGAGCTCACTCAGGTTAGGACCATAGGCCACCTCAGGCAGCTCACAACCACCATTAGCTCTAGCCCCAGCAGAGACACCTCAGGCTCCCATAGATACCCACACACACACACACACACATAATTTTATTTCTTGGCATTATAATATAACTACACTATTCCCCCTCTGGTTCTTCCAAATCCTCCGTGTACTTTCCCTCTCCAACTTGCTCTCTTTCAACTCATGACCTTTTTTTTCCTTAGTTGTTGTGAGATACACATAGCTTTAAAATAATAGAAATAAATCTTTTGCATCCCAGAGTTTTCTTACTGACCATGGCCAGGGGCATTTTCTCATCCAGATGCAGCTTGAGCTGAGACTATTTCTTTAAGGCTTTTTCCAGCTGTAGCTTTTTGCTAAAAATACCCTGGCTGCCTGTAAGTCAGGAATTGTAGAGACAATTGCTTTTGTATTTGGTCTTGTCTTTTAACTTACAAACAGTCCGGTGTGCACGTTGCTGCAGTGGGTACATGAGACACTACTCTGAAGTATTGAAAGGCCTTTGCAAAGTAGGCCAAGCAAGGACAACATCTTCTAAAAATCTGGAGCTTAAGGTATCTAGGCCAAGTCTGAGCTCAGAGTTGGTTGACAGGGCAACAGTGTCAGTTGTTCCCCATCTAAGATGGAGAAGCTTTCTCATATATGCAAGGATAGGTAGGCAGATTTTTTTTTTTCTTTTTGAGACAGGGTTTCTCTGTATAGCCCTGGCTGTCCTGGAACTCACTCTGTAGACCAGGCTGTCCTCGAACTCAGAAATCCACCTGCCTCTGCCTCCCAAGTACTGGGATTAAAGGCGTGTGCCACCACTACCCGGCAGGTAGGCAGATTTTTAGTACTTAAAACCATGTGCTATGACCTAAGTAGAATTTTATACGTGGAAGTTGCATAGTTGTAGAGTTTTGCTTAGCATGTGAAAAGCCCTGGATTCTATCCCCAGAACAATAGATTAGTTAACTAATTTGAAATGTAGAGGGACTGGAGATATGGCTCAGCGATTAAGAGCACTGACTGCTCTTCCAGAGGTCCTGAGTTCAAATCCCAGCAACCACATGGTGGCTCACAACCATCCATAATGAGATTGGATGCCCTCTTCTGGTGTGTCTGAAGACAGTTACAGTGTACTCATAAATAAAGTAAATAAATAAATCTTAGAAAGAAAGAAAGAAAGAAAGAAAGAAAGAAAGAAAGAAAGAAAGAAAGA